TTGCAAGACGCATCAATTAGATTATTCGTCATTCTAGAGATAAAAGAATTTTTCTTGGTATGAAATCTCGGATTGCAAGGCAAGTTACGCAATAAAATGGGATGTTTTGATTGGAAATTTTTTCGCGACGCGTGACGCGCTCAGTGGGAACGCAGCCTTACGCGTTTCGACACCATGGTGAATGCCACGCCGGCACTGGTTAGGATAATGGCCGCGGGCGACATTTCGACGCTGTTTTTACGCGTCAGTCGGCACTCGTCCGCAAACGTTTGTTTATCGGAATCGCGAAATCGATCGAGACAATATTCGACTTTGTTCGCATTCGTTTATTCTCAGCGAGATCGTAACTTACGAAGTATATTTTCCTGTAAATTTCTTAATACCAATTATAATAACACTAACACTACAAACGCGCGCTTCGCGCGCACTATTTGACACTTCTTACTATAATTTACAATTACGTCAACCTCAATACACACAACTGTCAAAATGCAATGTCACAGCCGCTTACGCAAAGTAAGCGCAGCGAGACAACCAATCAGCGTCGCGGAAAAGAAGCAACAAAACTTCGAGAGATGCGAGTATCGATGCCATGCCTTTTTTTAGATTTTATTAGATAGGATAGGATACGGTACTATCGAACTTGAAATACTCGATATTCGAATGCAGCATTAAAGTCTCACGGGACGCTGCTCTTTTCCTTTCGCTCGATGTTGATATAAAACTGATGATGGTAGACATTGCTAAGTATAATAACTGAAGTTCTTTCTTTATCTTTGTCGACGTACAATATCAGAGAGGGAGATGTCATTAAATTAAATTAAATTAACAATCTTTCTTTCATTTTCATGTTCACGCAGAATGCGGAGAGCTAACCCGGCAAAGTCAATGCTATAACCACGTTGGAGATTACTCTCCCTTTTCTTTCGCGCGTCACCGATAAACGTTGAAAGGACACGACGAAGTCAATGGTAGTCAGGTAGCTGCGCACGAGCGGATTGAGAATCAGTAATGTTTCGAAGGGGGATGCGGGAAGTCAAAAGTCGGGTGACCGAGGCCTGCGTAACAGATTCGCGCTGCCGTAGTCGTCGCTCAATTCCTGCGTAAACCGATCAATTTTAAAAGGTATTTTTATATCGGTCGCGAGCAAAAACCGAGCGCGCGTTACTTGATACGCTATCGAAAGCTTTCTACGCTCCTCTCACTTATATATTTAACACCATTTGTTTTTATTTTTATCAAAGCCTTTCAGGATTGTGTGGAACTTCAGCGCTGAAACAATTCGCTGGCCTTTTAGTTTGAAATTTATTGTAGAGGGATTGTAGTTCAAAGTTTATTAAAAAAACTTTGACTATAAATGTTAAAGGGAGTTGCTATATCATACTTGATAAATGCACGTATAAAAAAAAAACTCGAACAAACGCAGAAAAGTTTTTACTTCTTAATTTAACTTTAATTGCACGTTGTTACTGTATAAACGTAATTAATCATGGATGTTTGAGTATGGTTTTATAAAAATTACAACTGTAGATAATAAATTCATTAACAACAGCAATCAGAAAAGAAAAGCATCTTTTGAATAATTCGCAACAGAATGTACGAGTTTCCTCGCCAGTACTGTTCTATGCGTGACCATTGAAAATTCCGACGTTGGATACGAAGCTATAAAGCTCGAGGAGTTCTAGGACTTTCTAGAAGTTTCACGATAAAACAAGTAACACCATCTATTATTATATCTCAGCCATCATTCGAGCTAAAGCTGACCCCTCCGTGTTTTATCAACTGCAAAATCTTGGGAAACTACTTTAAATACAATAAATAATCGAGACAGCTAAACGCCAAGTTATTTTTTAGCATTTCGTAAAATTTCTTGAAACTAGCATCGCCCGAATAATTTTTACAATTCTCAAAATGTCTCGCGTTGCATGAAATGTTATAAATATACGATAATTTTTATAAAATAAATTACGTAGAAAAAAATTTTTTAAATGATGACAGAACTTGACGAGGTTGTTAAACATCGTAGTCAAAAAATGTATACAGACAGCTACAGCTGATTGTTAAGGCGATGCTGGAAGGTCAGAAAAATTTGTACAAAGTCGATAAAGCAGACTCTTCAGTGTCAATGGTATCTCTAAATGAACTTCTTACAATATCTTCTGTCTCACTCAAACACGTGGAATGTCCTTACCTAATTGAAATGCCTTATTGAAATGCCATCTCTTGGAAAATCCGGCACTACTGCCAAACGTAATTTTTGCCGTCTTTACCTTAAGCCCATATCAGACTAAAGCTTGAGATTGAGATTGAATTGGGATTTAACCAATTAGAAGAAAAAAAACCAATCCCAAATTTAGTAAACTATGTTTTAATTGGTCAAATTCCATTCCAATCTCAATCTCAATCTTTAGTCTGATACGGGTTTTAGCCAAGCGTACGAATTACCACAAATTGCATTCTAAGCGATAATTGTTTTTCTATGCTACCAATCGTAGCTCAAAGGTCTTGTGTTATTTGTGCAAGTAATCCGATGCGCGCGAATTATTTTTTTGTACATATGAGCTACAGAACTTTTGTACCAATGAAATGTTTACGTCAGGTGAGAGGTTATAATAGTTGTACGACAAGAAAAAAAGTAATTTTTTCATATTTTTTCGTTTTTATTACAAATATATAATTCGCGCGTTCACATTGTATCTCTATTTCAATCCTGTAAAAGCGTTTTCAAATCCGTTCACTCATTTCGAAGTTATTACTTAGAATGCAAATGTCGGAATTTCAGCATCGCCTTAAGGAAACTCGCAGGGAGTAATTGACGTTGCCACGATATTCTACCCTTAGTCGTCGACGCCTTTCGCGTTACGTGGCAGGCGTTAGTAGATAGTATAGGCGGGTTCTGGATCAAATGTAGGTCAAGGTCAAGGATGGAGGTAATGTAAGTCAAAAGGGTTAATTAATTAATTAATCAATAATATATCGATTAATTGATAATTAATTAAGCAATTAAATGATACGAAATCGTGAAATTGGTGAAAACAAATTACTAAGAGATCACAATAGATTCAGTGATAATTTAAATTGTGACATACATTTGACGATGAAATCAAATTGCGTATTTTCAACACGAATTTGGGAGTGAATAATGCTGGACGTAAATGAGAGTGCTGACTCGGAGAGAGTAGCACTGCGTCGGAAGCTGGAAGAGCATGAGAGCCGTGTATTGTTAGTAAGTACAAAAAGCCTAGCAAATCATTTTGGAGTGAGACAATGTTTTTTTCTTTCAGAACTACTTTCTCAGTTGCGATGACGATGATGATGACAACGGCGATGACAACGATGCGAGAGCGAGGACGCGGATGGAGGTGAACCCGCAGTTCGAGGCGCTGTGGGACGACGACACGAGGGTGAGGACGCCTTCGTGGGAGGAGGAGGCGAGCTTGCAGAAGAGCTCGCAGGCGAGGGCTAGAACGCCGGAGCCCGAAAGTATGGCGTCAACCAGAATGCTGGAGGCTGATTAGCTTAAGAGGATGCTAAAGCCGTCTGTTTTATTGACAAAAATACCATTTTTGTTGGATACAAAATACTTCGTATTAATCGTATAGAATAAAATTTCCTTTTCCACGATTAAAACACACATGCTAATGCATCTGGCTCTGGTGTGTTTTGTACCAAAAACAGGAAAAAATTAAGAAATTACAGATTTTGTTATCCATTTTAACCTCAACATGGCGACTAATGCTATCAATTTACCAAAACGTTTACTTCGTGGAAAAGTTAGGCAGGTTATATACTTGAAATAAAGGCAGAGCCAGATGTACAATAAAGAAATGAATATATGTGAGTCGCTAAAACATTGGAGGAACTAAGTTTACGTTTTCTCTAAAAACTGTATTGTTTTGCGAAAAATAATTAGTACGGAATACTCATTATTTTCTGAAAAATTCATCGATTCCT